TATATATATACATATATATACATATATATACATATAGAAACAAAAAACACATATATACATACATATGTGCGGCAGATATTAATAGATCTCATAAATATTTTTGACGTGGTTCTATAAGAAATTTATAACAAGCCAAATAGGCACCTATGAATCTATTTGCTTCTATAAGGAATTCTGTTATTTCCCATATTTTTAATTCGAATTATACGTAAAATCCGGTTTTGCTTTCATACGAACAGTTTTAAAAGTAATTTTCGTTTTAAATTTATGTATATAAATATATATTATATACAGGTTGTTTCAGACCTGACGCACCTGCTAATGGCAGATTTCTGAAGTCATTTTGAGTCGAAAATTTAATACCATAATATCCAGACTAATCCAGAATAATATCTTTTCAATAATTAGAAATATCAGTAATTTTATCATTGCCTACGTAATATTTATATTAATATTAACAAAATGCAACTATTAGCTTTTACATTTTGCTATATTTGAATGCATAAATTTTAGATAATTTGCTAGCTTTAAATAATTATAATTGAAAAACTATTATAGCCATGATATTTTGGTATTAAAATTTTCTTCTCAAAATGATTTCAGGAATCTGTCATTAACAGGTGATACGTTATTTCTGAAATACCTGTATATACTGATGTGTATATGTATATGCATTTGTATGTATGTATTTATACAGTGTATCTTATTTGATATTTGATAGTCAAATATTTGCAAATCGCGAAGTTTTTTAAAGAAAAAAGTTTTTTAGATAAAAGTTGTAGGTGAATTTCAAGAGGGAAAGAAGATAATATACATTTGAATTACATGGAAAAAAGAGTATGATTGGTCTGCACAGAAATCTAGTGATGTCAAATATTGCAAATAGTAAAAATATGAAACAACTATTTATGTATTGTAGTTATTTGAACCAGTACAATGGTTACGTTAAGTAATATTATGACAATGCTGGTTATATTACAACAATGCATTTGACACATACATATTTTTAATTATAAGCGTGGTGAGTCGCTTTTGCTTTTTAAAATTGTAATTTAATTTATAATGTATAACAAAAAATTCTTATTAATAATTTATTCTTATTATTACATATCATGCTTTATAATGTCATAATTGATGCAACTATACGAATATATAACTTATATATATATATCCATACGAATATATATCCATAGTAAATGATAAATCCCCCAATCAAGTTATGATTTTCACAATCAGATCGCGCCTAACTACATTGATGTAGTTGATACATCAAAAAAATAAATCGTATCAATCATATACATTTCTACCAAAGATATCTAGGATAATATTCTGTATTACTCACAACGAAATATTTTTATATGAACTGATGTCTTTTTATCCGTGTATAATTGCAATACACAACATAATTTAGTTTATATTTTTGAAATCTTTAGAATTTAAGTTATTAAATAGAATTTAAGTTATTAAAAATATCGGAGAATGTATTGATAAATATAATAATAATAATATACTTATAAATATAATAATATTATAATAATAATATTTATATTTAAATTATATAATTATCTATATTTATCTATATTTATCTATATTTTAATTACACAGAAATTTTTATTCCTGATTTTCATTACATGAATCTTTATCACCTGATAGATATGCATACAGTATTTTACATTGAATGTTTCAAAAAAACCAAGTCTTACCGCGTATAAATTTTTCTATTGCGATTTCCGGATAGAATATACAATGCAGACAAGTTCCCATAAAATCATATGGATTGTGAAATACCTACAGAAGCGATTTCAAAAGCTTTATGGTTTTCTTATAAAACTGATAAGCAGATATTAATTTTACATTAAATTGGATAAACATTCATTGCGGAATTTGTGATATACCTACTCATTTAGAGGTCAATGAAATTACACATAAACACTCTCATAAATTTTTGGAATATGTATGTTAGAAAAATGATTATTTTGTAATATATTAATAGAAACAAATAAAATGAATCAGATAGAAGACGGTTTATGACTCTTAGTATCGCACAAGAACATAGAAATGTGGTTCTATCTGACATTTTTAGAATACTACGTTTATGTATAGTCCTTTAAACTGCGCGCTGCAATAATTTTTCAGTCTTGAAGTACAAACTCTATTGAACTACTGCAGTAATATTAAAAGTTAAATTGACTATCAATTTAACAATTCGATGTTATTACGCATCTTAGAACAATTTTAATAATGCTGAATAACATTAAAATTTGTAAATAACTAATTTTATTGCGAAAAATATTATCTCGGCCGAAAGTTGAACTTGGATAGTTGAACTTTAGCATTCCGTGCAAGCGTCCTTTCCATCGAAGCGAAAAAAATAATGCTTACTTTAGACATAACATTTATTGAAAATGCGCATTAAGAGGATTCTAAAGTGAAACTTCAATTCCAACGAAGTAATCAGAGGGCTCTATTCTTCCAGCGAATCAACATGTCTTTATATATTATCTTACACAACTTATGATACATGCAGTGACACGTTTATGTCAATTTTTTTTATTTGCCGCGATAAAGCATCTAAGTCTAATTCTAATTCTACGTTATTTATTCGTGTAAACTACATGTTTGTGGATCACTATTTCGTAAGTTGCAAAATTTTCGCGTTAAGCAAATGTTGTCTTGAGACACTATGTTACACTAAGAAATGACAAAAAATATATCAATTTAGAAATTTTTGGTTCTCGGCCTAAACTCCACCTTACAAACACATATTAATGCGTATACTTTAACTCTGAAAAAGAATTTACGAATCTGGGAAAGAAGAAAAAGTATTTATCTACTTTGTCAATAAAAAAATTGATTTTTTTAACATTTCTTGAATTCTTGTAGTCTGTAGAATATCTTTGTAAAGTTTTATACAAAAATTCAAAATATCAACAAAGTTACAACAGTTAATTTGTGCAGCTATCAGCGCGCTACCTGTGCGTAGCCGTCGACGCCGCTAATAAGGAAGAATTCTCTTATTATTTGCAGTGTCCTTTTTTCCCCACATTTTCCTTGCTGCATTCTTGTTATGTCCACTTTATGGTCCCGGAATTGTCGGAATTACGAAATAAATGTTACAAAATTCTTTCGTTATCTGTATAAAATATCAATGCAAATTTTGATGCAATTTTCCTGATACGACTTTTTAGGAACTGGCGATCACGATTAAAATAAAACTGAACCAATTAGCTTCAAATTTGAGGACTCATAAAATATACATTCCTTTATCTGAACTAGAATTACTTTGACAATTTAATTTTTTATATTTTTTGGGAAACATTTTAAGAAAATGTGCAAACTAAACTTTTTTTTTATATAAGTGTCATTTATTTATTTATTGGGTGAAATTATTCTAGTTCAAATGATAATCCCAAGTGTCTTGACATAAAATGAAGTCTTATTTTTTTCAGTTTACTGGGAAACTCAATGGTCGCCGATGAACTTTTTATATGATGTAAAAGAAAAATGGATTTGTAACACGTCAAATAATATTCAGATTTTTTATTAAAAAAATAAAATTTTCATTCTTAAAGTAATTAATAAACTCTAAAAATTTAAAAAAAAATATTCACTCATTTTTAAAAAAAAAATTCTTAATTGCAAGATTCTTAAAAATCTCTTAAAAATAATGCGAGATAATCTAATACCCACTTAAAATTTTGTGTATCTATAATCTTTAGACGGATTAAAAAAATTTCTTTATATTTGTATTTTTTCATACTTTCTTATCACTTAAATTGGTTTGCATATTTTCTTATTATTAATAATAGAAATATTTTCCTTATTTGACGTGTCACGATAA